AGCTGCACCTAGTGTGGCAGCTGCCCATGCAGGGAGGTCCAGAGTCCCCACTCCTCCGACAACCCTATCCCAACCCGGCACCCCATGCCCAGACCCACCCAGTGCTCACCTCAGCATCCTCCCAGGTCTTCCTCTGGCGGAACAATCTGTAGCAGTTGTTTCCATAACGTAGCCAGTCTTTGCGGCATTTCTGGACTGGAGCCCCTGCGCAGAGACAGGCCAGGCGGGCAGTGAGGGGGGAAGACACCCTGGTATTCTCTCCCCCAGCCCCAGAGCAGTTGCTTTGCCGAGAGCAGGGGCAGCGCTGCTGGGTCACAGGGTGGAGGGGGTGAGAGCAGCCTCTGGGCACGAGACACATAAGGAGATACCTGGGGGAGGTGGCTGGGAGGAAGAGCAGGGATTTGGGGACCCCGGTAGGACCCCAGGGCCCAGTGTTGCTTTTTTCAGGGCAGGGGGACACAGAGGCAGGGGAAGGGTGGTATTCCAGTTCCAGTGTCTCTCCCTGGAGCTGAGGCAGGGGCCCTGTCTACCGGGGGGGACACGCTGGACCCAGCTGCAGCCCGGATACGGGGTCTCTGGGGAACAGCCCTTCTTGTCGAGGGGCCAGGACAGCCTGAGTGGGACCAACGATCTCCCTGCAAAGGGAAGCAGAGACTGGGGGCTTCAGTGCGGCGCAGACTCACCTTCCAGCCAGGGGCTCAGCACCAGGCAGCCCAGGAGGCACAGGATGAGGTGAGCAGCGGTCCTCATCTCCTCGCTTGCCCTGGGGGTAAACATGGGAGCTGTGCCGTGCCCCACACTGACCTCTCCCTGCCTCCACAGGGGGGTTGCAGGACTGGGCTCTCTGCACAAGGGCCCAGCCTGGCCCCAAAACCAAGACACAGGGAGATCCCCAAGGGACAGGGGGTCAGCAGGGATCTGTGTCCTGGGGCTGGGGCCAAGGACCTTCCATCTGCAGACCAATGGACCCTCCCTCCACTCTCCTTCCCTTCAATCCCCAGCACTGCAGGCCAGGGCAGGGCAGGGACCCTGGGACCGGAGGGTCAGCACTGACCCACGGGGACTGGGTGCAAGGACAGCACTGTGGGGAAGGGGGACAGAGTGACTTCTCCCCAGGGTGCCTCACACACAGCTCATGTGGCCCTCAGGCACCAGCCAGGGATGCTCCAAAGTCCTGGCCCTGCACAGAGGGGACAAGGGGTCGGGGCGGGGGGGGCAGGACTCACCTGTGTGCTTCTCTGGGATCTGGTCTGGAGCAGGGGATTTGGTGCCGATGGTGCCCAGAGAGTTTATAGGCTGGCAGAGGGGAGGGGATCAGGGAAAGATGTGAACATGCAAAGCATTTCCCCAGCTGATGTCAGTCTGGCCCTGCCCCGCCTCTTGCCTGCCCGCCCCACTCCCTGCTCCAGGTACTGGCCAGGAGCCACTGCCAATCAGTAGCTGCCCCCGGGGGGGGGATTGTGTGCCCTGGGCCATGGGGGGATGCCATTGTTTTCTGTCCATCATTTCTTATTCTCGTCTCCGAACTCAGACCACCCGCTGGGCTTTCCAGCCTGATCCAGGGCCCATCCCAATGGATCCTTCATGGATTGTGCAACTGACTGTCTCTGTCTTGGGGCTGTTGATTGTCATAGTTTCATAGTTGGTAGGGCCGGAAGGGACCTGACGAGAACATCTAGTCCGACCCCGTGCTGTGGCAGGAAATAGTACTGGGGTCAAATGACCCCGGGCAGATGTTCGTCCAGCCTCCTTTTAAAGACCCCCAGGGTAGGAGCCAGCACCACTTCTTTTGGAAGTTGGTTCCAGGTCCTAGCCGCCCTGACAGTGAAATAGCACCTCCTGATGTCTAGTCTGAAACTACCCTGTGCTAGCTTGTGTCCATTGCTTCTTGTAACTCCCGGGATTGCTTGGGGGAACAGGGACTCTCCCAATGCCTGATGGTCCCCCTTGACTAGTTTGTAGATTGCCACTAGGTCCCCTCTCAGCCTTCTCTTTTGGAGGATGAAACAGGTTCAGGTCCTGCTGTGGCGGGCCAGTAGGGGGTGCTCCTGCGTTGAGCCGCCCACCTCCCTGCGCCTGACCACCTTCTAGGCTCTGAGTCCCTCCCTGGGGTGCCTCCTGTCCAGCTGACCCCTTCCCTGGAGCACACCCGCTAGCCTGGGGGTCCCGCTGCCAACATCCCAGGGTCTTGACTCA